CTGCGGGAGCAGGGCGCAGTGGCGACTCCAGCCACACATCCCCCTCTTGGGCGGGATTGGTGAAAAGTGCCTGGCCTGCGTGACGCTGCCGGCGGACCTGGTAGGCTGTCCCAACCCAGATCCCAGAGCCTGACGGTGGCCCAGAGGGGCGACTCCCGCGTAGGCTGCCTGGTCCGTAACTCCCTGGTGCGCAGCAGTGAGCGGGAACACCTAACTGGCGCAATTCGAACAGGCTGTGGCTGACTGGGAGAGAAGCTGGGCCTCTTATATAAGCTTGCATATATAAGGAACAGAGAAGAAGAGGCAGCATGGGAAGAGGCAGCAACAAGAAAGGCTCCTCGGCCCCCAATTCTGAGAAACAGGCAATAGCAGACACCGCACCAATATACATAAGGCACCATATAGAGAGCCTCATAGACCAATTCAGGAATGAAGTTATCAACGACCTGAAGCTAGAAGTATGCAGAATAGTTAGAGAAATGCTAAGTACCACCCAAGAAAAAACAGGTGGTGGAATGGAAGAACAGAAAAAGAGGGGAGAATTGCTTGATGGAGAAAACAGAGAAAGCATAGAATACGTGAAGCAGGTTCAAAGGGACTACCAAGATACTAAGAAGTCTATCGAAGACTGGCATAACAACTTGAAAGAAACTAAGGACAGACTATCTGAACTGGAGGGCAGACTTGTAATATGGGAGAATGAAATGAAAAACTTCTTAAAAATAACAAAGAAACAAACAGCAATAATACAAAGACAAGAAGATGAGAAGAGGATCCATAACTTGAGGATTAAGAACATAAAAGAAGAAGTAGGGACACAAACAAGTGAACTACAAAAGCTACTCACAGAAATAATCCAGGAGAATTTTCCTAATTTAGCAAAAGGTAAAGATACTCAGATGTATGAGGCATACAGGACCCCAGCTACCTACAACCCAAACAGAGCAACACCCAGGCATATAATAATAAAAATTCCAGAAATTCAATACAAGAACAGAATATTAAAAGCTGTAAGAGACAAGAAACAGACCACTTACAAGGGAACACCCATCAGAATTACAGCAGATTTCTCTGCACAAACCATCAAATCACGAAGAGCGTGGGGGGAAATAATTCAAGCTTTGAAAGATAATAATCTCCAGCCAAGATTGAGATATCCTGCACAACTGTCCCTGGAAATTGATGGAAAAACAAGGTGCTTCCCAGGATAAAGAGGAACTGGGGGAATTTGCAACCACCAATTCAACTCTACAGAAAGTATTGCAGGATATTCTAAAAAAAGAAAAATACAAAGAACCCAGAAATAGTGGCGGGGAGGCCACAACGAATGGAGCAGAGAACAAAATGAAGAAGACAAACTGACAGCTACTGACAGAAAAAGAGCTCAACAGAAATGAGGCAGAGAAGATTGGATGATAGGAACAGCTATTTTGGAGAAAATGACATCTTAATAGGTAATACTGATTTAGTATCATCTTGTTTTGAAGTCTCATCTAGCTTTTGTCCTTCTGTCTCCAATGGTCTAAATAGGCTGTATCTTACTGGATTTTATTATGTACAATAGTATAAGCAAAAACCTTTTAAAGACAAGGAGTTTATACAGAAACCATTGTTCATTTTCTGTTAGTCGATTCTAAATACTCTGTAATGCTGTCATTCTCTGAATGGTTTTACATTGTTTTGATATACTTAATGCTACAGTATACGAAGTTGTACTGGAGGATTTCAAAGAAAGAGACAATATGGTAACTACTTTTAGGTCAGGGTTATCTGGTGGTGAAACACTATTCTGCTTAAATGGTTATGTTTTGATCTGCGCTGTTTCGTTGTTATGCCCTCTTTTATCTCAATCTCCACTCCATTATTTACTTTTTTATCTTTATCCTTTTAATTAAAGGAAAAAAATAGCAGGATATATTATAGTAACCCACTTTGACTTTCCATTACCTCGATTTAAAGCCCTGTATTACTCTCACCATCTGGTTTTTAACTGATGTTCCCCTATTCTGTTTTGCTGGATAGTATCAGGTTCGAAAGTTTAGGCATCAGCTGTGAAGATAATGAGATTCATTATGACGCCCATTCTTGTTGACTTTTATCTACTTTTGAAGACCTACAATGTCTCCAATGTTTTGGTTTTGTTGGTTTTATTCTTTACTGTTTTGTTCAATTGTATTATAACTAACGATATAGGCAATTCTATTAGAGATAGCGGGAGGCATTATAGTAACCATTGTTGATCACCTTGTATTATGTTTTTACATTATCTATTATGTCCACCCTTTTGACTTGACCGATTCTGTTCTGTTATGTCACATTTGGTTTTACTCTCTTCCAAAAAAGTAATAAGAACCGTGGGAGCAATGAAACCCAAAATGTGTAATAGTCATGGTACAAAAGAGAGGAAAAGAAAGTGCTCCAAACTATATAACTGCATGTATATTTAAGTGTATAAGATAGAAAATGATATCACAGAGTTTTATTGGATCAATGAACAGAACTGTTTGCAGTATCGTTGATGGAATGTCCACTTTACAAGCTTTAATTTTGTGACTTGAACAATTATTTCTAAGATGACAATATGTAATCCATTAACTAGTGATTTCCTACTGTTCATTTTTTTTCTGTAAATCTGTATAACTTGTACCCTTTCCCTGCTTTTTTTTTTCCTTTTCTCCTTAAATAAAATTTTAAAAAAAAAAAAAAAAAAAAAAGAAAACAACTGATAACAAATGTTGGCAAGCCTGCGAGGCAAAAAGGAACACTGCTCCATTGTTGGTGGGAGTGTAGACTGGTGTAGCCAATATGGAAATCACTACGGAGAGTTCTCAGAAGCCTAGGATTGGAAGTTCCATTCAACCCAGCTATTCCCCTTCTGGGTAGTTTGTCAGAAAACCTGAAAAGGTCGTTATCACAGTGATGACTGTGCACGTAGGTTGCCAGCAGAACAATTTGTAATAGCTAACTCTTGGAAACAACCAAAATGCCCACCAACTGCAGAGTGTATGAAAGAGATGTGGTGTTTTTATGCAATGGAATATTACTCAGATATAAAAAGGGATGATCTTGAGGCCTTCGTAGGTAAATAGAGGCAACTTAAGACTCTCCTCATAAGTGAAATAAATAAAATCGTATTTATAAATATCACATTGTGTCTCTAGTGTACAAAGTAATAAGAATTGAAGGAGTAATAAAACCCAAAATGTATAATTGCTATTGTAAAAAAGAAAGGAAAACAAAGTGCTCTAAAGGATATAACTAAAGGATACAACTGCATGTATGTTTAAGTGTGCAAGATAGATGACCATATTACCAAGTTTTTGTTGGATCACTGAACAGAACTGTTTTTAGTCTCACTGTTTGAATTTCCATTTCGTGTGCCTTAATTTTGTAACTTGAACAACTATTTCTAAGATGATAGTATATAATTTATCAACTAGTGATTTCTTAGTGTTTATTTTTATTTTTTTTGAAATTCTGTATTATTACTACCCTGTTTTCTGTTTTGCTTCTTTTTCTCTTTAAATAAAAAAAACAAGACCAGCCTGGGCTACATAGTGAGCTTGAGGCCAGCCTCAATCATCGAGTGAGATCCTTTCTCAAAAAAGAAAAGAAAAAAAAGACAGTGTAAAAAGATCCCTTGCTCATAGATAGGAAGAACCAACATTGTGAAAACAGCCATACTCCCAAAATTGTTATATAGATTCAATGTAATCACACAGAATGAAAAAACATTTTAGCCAACTGTCCCTCAGACAAAAGACTTCTATCTAGAACATAAAATGAATTGAAAAATATCAGGCCAACAAATTCAAAGACCAAATCCAAACATAGATATCCGAGATGAACACCCAATTCTCAGATGAAAAAATACAAATGACAAATAAATATATGAAAAATTCAGTATCACTGGTCAGTCAAGAAATTCAAGATAAAAACACTGAGATTGTATCATACTCCAGAAAGTATAGCTATCATCAAGAAACAAACCAATAACAAATGCTAACAGGAGTGTGGGGAAAAAAGAATCACTTTTCACTGTTGTTGGGAGTGTAGACTGGTACAACCACTGTGGAAATCAGTGTGCAGATTTCTCAAAAAAATAGGATTGGAGGTTCCGTGCAATCCAGCTATTCTCCTTCTGGGTATTTTCCCAGGAGAACTGAAAACATCATACCACAGTGATACATGTGCACTCAAGTTTATTGCAGCACAGTTTGTAGCAGCTAAATCCTGAAAACACAAATGACCATCAACCATGAAATGAATAAAAAGATGTGGTACTTTTCTATAATGGAATACTACTCAGCTATAAAGAAGGATAAACTTGAGGCTTTCACAGGCAAATGGATGCAACTTGAGACTATACTAATAAGTGAAATAAATCAGACTGCAGTGTAAATACCATGTTGCCTTCCTAGTGCAAAATCTAAAAGAGAACTTAAGATTCAAAATGTCCAATAGATATGGTGAAAGTGAAAGAAACTATTCAAAAGAAAAGAACTGGCATAACAGAAAGGAAAACAGAAGGAAAGGAAAATTATACTACTAATCTCTGTTAGGTCATAAAAAAGAACAGTTTGTGCTATCATTGTTTGATGATTTTTTTTCAAACCTGTATCTTGTAATCGAATAACTACTTTGAAGATAACAATATGTAATATATTAACCACTGTTTATCTATTATTTTATTTTGAAATTTTATATGATTGCTTTTATTCTTTTTTGTTTAAAAAAGATAATAGGTGCACCATATGATGATTATGTGCTTTGAATACAAAAGCAAATATAGAAAAACTGTCAAAAAATGAAACAGTGAAACTTTCTCATGTTTGCAGCAAATAACATTAAAGCAAAAAATAGGGAATACAGTTTTTAGATATCAGAAAAAATCTTTTAAAAATAATGCTAGTTGCAGGTAAGGTTAACAGGACAAACATCATAATGAAGTTTAAATGCATTTCACTTTTAGAAAGTAAAGAAACTCCTGTAACACTTACTTTGTAAATAGTGCAAAACCATCAGTACAAGGCTATAGCTGCTTAAAGTACCACGACTGGCATCATTTATCTCATGGTGATTTGCCCACTTCTTAATCACCAGCACTAATGGACGAACTCGATTTTCAACTGCAAGTAAAATTAGAACTTAAAAATGGTAAAAGTATAACAATTTTTTTGGAAAATTTAGATAATTTCCAAACTCCCATACTCATTAAAAAAAAAAAAAAAGCCTCCTGTCCCCTAAACTCTGTATTCAACATAAATGTGTGACTTACTTCTAAACTTACCTTAGCTGTCTTTTAAAAACTATTATTTCTTAAAATGCATTTGATTTACCTAGGACTCAGGGTAGTAACATACAAGTAAGATACATTATACCTAAATACAACCAAACAGGTGTTGCTATTTACAATTAACATTTTTAAAAAGAAAAAAAGAATGAAAGAAAATCAAAAGTTGGTAATTATTTAGAAATAAACCAGAAACTTACGGTATGCATAAGTTCTGAGAAGGAATGTGTTTCTTATTCCAACAATATTGTTTACATTCAAGTCAAACTCCACACAACTATTTAAGAAAACAAAATAAAGCAAACTTTAGCTCAAGTTCAATCTCCCTAACACATACACCAACCCATGCAATGACTCACAAGGGCACAGCCCTACCTCTGTTTTCTAAAGGAGGCACAAAAGAAGTAAGAATAGGGACTGGGGATTTAGCTCAATAGCACAAGCACCAGCCTGGTAATTGCAAGCTTGTGAGTTTGAACCCGGGTTCCAAACAAACAAACAAAAAAAGAAATAAGAATAAAAATATATTCAGAAAAAAGAAAACTCACATATTTAGCATGTAATTTTAATCTGATTTGATATATACCAAAAACATGAACTGAGATTACTGTTAAAAGATCTGTAACCTACAAATAAGACTTCAACTACTCAAAAGAAAGGATAATTTGAATCTTAAAACCTTTTCCAGATGAACAAAATTATGGACCATAACTTTTCTGGTCAAGATCCCTTCACTACTAAGTTATCTATTCTTAAATAATTTGGAATTATAGCATTATATACTTTAAAGCAACAAGAATAAAAAGCCAAATAAAATACAAATTAAAAAATAAAATAAAGGCTTTGTCTGCACATTATACTTCTTAAAAGGCTAGTAAATTACACTACCATGTTAAATGTAGCTACTGCTATCTAGGAAAAGCTGTAATACTCAAACACATTACAGAAGGTATAATTCTTTAAAAGAATAATTATGCAATTTGCAACTTAAAAAACAGCTATGCTGATGGAATCTATAATAATTATAAAATTATAATCAAGTAAGGATTATGTTATATATGTTCCATTTCGACCCATAAATTATGATACAATTTCTTCTGAATACTCCATTTTTCTCTAAGAAAACATTGCCTAAAATAAAAATGAATTTTTTTCTACTGTCTTTATTAAAAATTTGAAATTTTTCTAATCTCTCATGAAGAACAGAAGAAATCTTATAATCTTTCAATTGTTCTTATTAAAATATGAAGAGTGGTATTAACACTTCAGATATACACATCTAGCTTTGGAATACTTTAATAATAGTTACGTTATTTAATTATGCTTGTGTAAGTCTAACATGGGAGCCAGTTTGTACTTTTTCCACATAACTCAACAAAGATGAAAATACACAGAAACTAGTTTACAATTAAAAACTTCAAAAGAGAGAATTCAGAGGGCATTAACATTGTCTACAGCAACTGCTTCAAATACTACTTCTAGAAATATTACAAAAGTAACCATAGATATGGAAAGAATTTATAGCAGCTAAAAACTAGAAATAAAACCAAATGTTCAAACATAAAGAATGATTATATTAATAACTTACTCAACAAAATATTCATTAAAAATGATGCTACTGGAAAATACTTAATGATATAAACAAGTATGATATATTGGGAATAAAAACATCTCAATTTTACCTTTAACAACTCTTGTGCATTCATATTCATACAGAAAGAGACTACAACGTTTACATCAAAATGTTTAGGAATGGAGTTTTTGTTGCTTTTTGTCTATGTCAGTGATGGCGAACCTTTTAGAGCTTTCAATGTAACAAACTGCCTGTTGCAGCATGTGTGCCACAGGTTTGCCACCACTGGTCTGTGGGGTGTTCTGGTGTGTGTGCGTGCGTGTGTGTGTGTGTGTGTGTGTGTGCGCATGTGTGCATGTGTGTGTGTATTCAGTGCTAGAGATGCAATCAAGAGCAAGCTCTCTACCACTGAGCTAGTATAACCTAAGCCCATTTGTGATTTGTAGAAAGAAAAATTCTAAAAGTTATATAGAATAATAAAAAGTTTATGAAACTCTTAAATAAAAAAATCTTACGTAACTATGAGCACAACAACATATTTTTTAAATTAGCCACTAATATTATTACTTAAGTGTATTTCCCTGTATATTTTATATACTATTGTTATTGTTGTGGTGGTTGTTTGAGACAGAGTTTAGAACTGTATGTATCCCAGGCTGGCCTTGAACTCATGATCCTCCTGTCTCAGCCTCACAAGTGCTGGGATTGCAGGTATGCAGCACCTCACCTGACTATTCTATGTTTAGCACTACTTGGCAGAGAGTCAATAAATATTTATATACTAAATGGACATTTAAATCAATGGAAAAAGAAACCCAGAGCCAAATACTTTTCAGTCAATTCTTGTCATTGAAAGTAGTTATGCTCTATAAAATTGCTGCAAGCATTTAATAAGTAGATATAAACCCCAGCTTCTACTACAAATACAGGATTAAGTTCCAGCCAACCTAGTTATATTTTCATCTATTAGTCAATACATATTCTTCTAAACAGAAACCATGTAATAGTTGACTTATCAACAGTTCATTGATGGAGTTATAACTCAAGCAAGTAAGTTACAGTGCTCTTGCCTACCATTTGAAAGCCTTGATTTCCCCTATTCCACAAAAAGGGGGGGGGGGGAGAGAATGAAGGAGGAACATGACATCTGTTTACAGCATGGAAGCTGAAACAAAAAGGCAGAGTGTCACTTTATTCAACCTCAGTTGAAAACAGGGGAATCAGGTGACTCCAAACTTTTTACCATTCTGTGCATGTCTTCAAATGACCTGCCTCTAAAACATGTAAAGGATATAAATACTGATGAAGAGGGATACAAATAAATTTTAAGCAGGTAGGCAAGTTCTAAGTAAAATATTCACAAATAAGAAAGCTCAACTCTGCGTATACATGTGTACTTGTGTGTATGTTCAATTTCAGTACTGGTTTTATAAAACTGGGCTACAAGAATGTGATTTATCATAATTCTATCTATTTTAGAAAACAGTTATATTCTCATATTACATAAACGATTCAAATTCTAAGCTGTGAAAACCAACAGAAAAACAATAAATTTTGAAATCAAGTACATTTTGCTTTCATACCTATCATTTTCAGTATTATGTCTTTCATTAAAATGAAACATAATTTATTCAATAATTTACAACAAATTTTTTGATATACATACACATCAAATTTTATCAACTAAGATTATGTTTCGGAGAAGGCAATATATTCCAAAAGGCAAGAGATCATTTAAAAATTAAGTATATGCTTGAGGTATGGTCAAAATATATACTGAATGTTTACATTTTACTTTTTAAAATTTTTTCTTACTCTTTTGGAGACATACAGTCTCTCTATGATATGTAGTGATATGCAGACTGGCCTTGAACTTACTATACAGCCCAGGCTGGCTTCGAAATGGCGATCCTTCTACTTCTGCCTCCCATGCACTTAGATTACAAGCATGCACATTCTTATGAATGCTGACATATTTAAAATTTTCTTTTCTTTTTCCTTCTTTTTTTGAGACAGGGTCTTACTGTGCAGTTCATGCTGGTCTTGAGATCACTTGTAACCCAGGCTGATCCTGTGCATTTAATCAAAACAATCTTCCTCTCTTAGCCTCCCGACTGCTGGGATTATATGCATGCACCATTCTTTAAAAATTTATTACGTAAAGGATATGTTAAATTCCCCCCTCAAAACACTCCCTTCAGCAAGTGGCAAGTATTTTCAAGGGAAGGGAGAGTATTTTGAGTGGGATTAATGGCAATATTTCTTTTACTATAACACATTTGTTTAATTTAACCAGTCACTATATTTGTCAATCACATATACATTCTTTTAAGTTAGTCTCAAATGTCAACAGAGTAAATATAGTTAAGCATGAGAAAGCCTGGTAGGCGACTTTTAAAAATTACTTCAAAACTCAAGTGAGTTTTAAAACATGTTACCAAGCTGTTATACTACAATATAGATTTCTTATCTACATTACATATATTTCTAAAAATAATCTAAAGCAACTCTTAAAGAAGACAATTCAGTAATTACTTACCTTACTTTATCCCTGAACTTCACAATCGGCACTTTTGCTCGAATCAGTTGAGGTCTTTCAATGTAGCCAGCTGCAAGATAAAAGACACATGAATTCTGCCAATTTCCCAAATGTTCCAACACACATTTTCTAACACAGTAGTTTGCTAAGCTAAAACTACTGAAGAAAATTTGTCTTTGAAAAGGAAGGCAAAAAACGAAGGTCATTATGAAACTCTAAGATTAAAGAGTCTAGGAATACCATTTAGATGACTTTTATTAAGGTTACTTTCAGAAATAGGGTCTAATTACTAACAGTGCCTATAATGAAGTATATTATAACAGGCCAGATGTGGTGGCAGAACATCATAGGAGTGAAAAAATAGACTAACATCAAGGATATGGTTAAAGTAGATGTAACAAATGGTAGCCAAAGAAATCATTTTTTCAGTGTTTTAAGTGTGGAAATGCTGACAATTTTGTATGTGAAGCAGAAATACAATGAAATAAATATGATCTCTAAGAACAAAAAACACATTTACATGTTTTATGCTATCAAACTTTGTTCTGAATTTCAAGTAATACATGTACATTTTAGAAAATTAGGAAATCAGAGAAATATATAAAGATCTTTTCCAAAAGAATAATTTCCTTTTTTAAGAAAAGTACAGAACCAGATTTTTAAAAGGTAATTTGTTAATGAAAAATAAGATTAGCAGTTAATAGCTTTGAGTAGCAAGTATCATTTCTGACATCACCAAACTGTTTCAAATTACTAATTACTTTAGTAATTAGCAAATTACTAAACCAAATCACTCATCTCCTAACTGTTAAAAACAGCACTGAAGTCAGGTATGGTTGCACAGGCCTGTAATCACAGAGCTCAGGAGGCTGAGGGAGGAGGATCACTGTGATTTCAAAGACAATCTGGGCTCCATGGGGAAGAGAAAGACAGCCTGGATTGCACAATGAGACCCTGTCTCAAAAAAAGAATAAAATTTTACTACACATGGCCTAAGTCAACAATTTTGCTTTTCACTGGACTATGTGGGCCACATGTTCACATTTTTAGAGTGAGAAAAATGTGTATCACTACAAAAAAGATGAAATTTTTTGTCTCACACGTAAGTACCTATAGTACTTTACATCAGTTTTTTGGCTTTTAAGAGACTTTGCATTACAGCAGTTCATTCATGCCTTAATTTGTTTCCCTAACAGACCACATCTTTTGAGAAAAAGTCTATGTATCTTTGAATCTCTCACTACATCTAGTGAGACAATGTACAGAGACTTGATAAAAATTTGTTCAATAAATGGTCATTCTTTTGAATCAAAAGCTAAAAAGAATTTAGGGGAGGAACAAAGGATCCACATTGTACCTGACCAGAAAATAAATCTTACCAGAAAACAAAGTCAGAAACACTTTAAACAGCTATATGAAACAGATGACATGAACTTGAGACATTTCAGACTTACAAAGTCTCGTACAGAAGTGTTTATGGACTAACATGAGTATATGTCGTGCTTCAGTCTTCTGATTTACCTGAAAAAAACACTGAAAAGTTAAAAATAAAGTCATTTATTTCATTATCTTACTTAGCTCAATGATACATTTTCTTAAGGTATGTCAACAAAAAAAGCACAAAGTATACTTCTCTTTGGATTTATTTTGCTGTATACATCAAATTGCATTAAAGAAAAAACAGATTAAAATACAGATTTTAAACTTTAAAGGACAATTTTTAGAGAAATTCTCTAACTCATGTCATATTTCTCCTTCCACTTAAATGTACAAAATTGGCGCGGGAGAGGCAGCACGGCTAGGAGGCATCCGGGGGCCACAGTCCCAGCCTGCCACTTTACTTTCTGCTGACCCGACAGTCATTATGCCGAAGAGAAAGTCTTCAGAGAATACACAGGGCAAAGATGGATCCAAACTAACTAAACAGGAATAATTGTTCATTAGTCCGGGAGAACATGGCAGACAGATAGCAGCAGCTACAGAGGCTCTCTGAAAGACCCAGCTTAGAATTCAGGAATGATGCGGAGTAAGGAATCATAAGCAAGTGGAGATATGCCCTGCTTACCCAAGAATGAACTGGGCTGAGAGAAACCAACTGGGAATGCAATCCTGGTGCTATAACAGGAACAGATAAAGCCTCAGTGTGAAAGCTGGAGCCGCGCCATTGGAAGCTGCAATTTGGGTTTCCCGCCGCCGCTGCTGCGTCTACATCTGCTCGGCAGGGAGAGAGACTAGCAAAAGCTCTGTAAACGGGAATCGGTGAACGGAGTTGAAAGCAGGACGGGCAGGGAGCTGTGCATTGACCTGCAGTGAGTGAAAGAAACTGGGACTCTTCCACGGTCTAGGAGACTCCAACAGAGGACATTCTGGGACCGGGCAGACTTGCCGGAACAGGGCGCTGCAGTGACTTCAGTCACATATCCCCCTCTCAAGCGGGATTGGTGAGCAGTGCCTAGCCTACGTGACGCTGCTGGCTGAGACCCAGTAGGCTAACACAACCCAGGTCCCAGCGCCTGAAGGTAGATTGACCTGGAGGGGCGGGCCATAGGCTGCCTGGTCTGCAACTTCCTGGTGCGCTGCGGTGGGCGGAAACACCTAGCCAGCACAATTCAATCAGGCTGTGGCCGACAGGGAAGGAAGCTGGGCCTCCTATACACGCTTGCATATATAAGGAACAAGGAATATGGGAAGAGGCAGCAACAAGAAAGGCTCTTCAGCCCTCAATCCTGAGAAAGAGGCAATAGCCGACACAGCACCAATAGATATAAAGCGCTATTTCCAGAGCCTCATAGACAAGTTCAGGAATGAAGTTATTAATGACCTGAAGCTAGACATAAGCAAAATAGTTACAGAAATGCTAAGCACCACCCAAGAAAAAACAGATGGCGGAATGGAAGAACAGAAAAAGAGGGGAGAATTGTTTGATGGGGAAAATAGAGAAAGCATAGAATACGTGAAGCAGGTTCAAAGAGATTACCAAGAAAATAAAAACTCTTATCGAAAACTGGCATAACAGCTTAAAAGAAACTAAGGACAGATTATCGGAACTGGAGGGCAGATTTGTAATATGGGAGAATGAAATGAAAAACTTCTTAAAAATAACAAAGAAACAAACAGCAATAATACAAAAACTAGAAGATGATAAGAGGATCTGTAACTCAAGAATTAAGAACATAAAAGAAGAAGTAGGGACACAAACAAATGAACTACAAAAGCTACTCACAGAAATCATGCAGGAGAATTTTCCTAATTTAGCAAAAGGTACATATACTCAGTTGTATGAAGCATACAGGACCCCAGCCACCTACAACCCAAACAGAACAACACCCAGGCATATAATAATTAAAATTCCAGAAATCCAATACAAGAACAGAATATTAAAAGGCATCAGAGACAAGAAACAGATCACTTACAAGGAAACACCCATCAGAATTACAGCAGATTTCTCAGCACAAAACATCAAATCATGAAGAGCGTGGGGGGAAATAATTCAAGCTTTGAAAGATAATAATCTCCAGCCAAGATTGATATATCCTGCACAACTATCCCTGGAAATTGATGGAAAAACAAGGTGCTTCCAGGATAAAGAGGAACTAGGGGAATATGCAACCACCAACTCAATTCTACAGAGAATACTGCAAGATATTCTAAAAAAGAAAAATACGAAGAATCCAGAAATAGTGGCAGAGAGGCCACAATGAATGGAGCAGAAAACAAAATGAAGAAGACAAACTGACAACTAATGACAAAAAAGGGCTCAACAGAAATGAGGCAGAAAAGATTGGATGATAGGAACAGCTATTTTGGAGAAAATGACGTCTTAATAGGTAATACTGATTTAGTATCATCTTGTTTTGAAGTCTCATCAAGCTTTTGTTCTTCTGTCTCCATTGGTCTAAACAGGTTGTATCTTATTTTATTATGTATGATAGTATAAGCAAAAACTTTTATAGACAAGGAGATTATACAGAAACCATTGTTCATTTTCTGTTAGTTGATTCTAAATACCCTGTAATACTGTCATTCTCTTAAATGGTTTTACGTTGTTTTGATATATTTGATGCTACAGTATACGAAGTTATACTGAAAGATTTCAAGGAAAGAGACAATATGGTAACTACTTTTTTGTCGCGATTATTTTGTAGTGAAACACTATTTTGCTTAAATGGTTATGTTTTGATCTGTGCTGATTTGCTGTTACGCCCTCTTTTATCTCAATCTCCATTTTATTATTTTTATTTTTATCCTTTTAATTAAGGGAAAACTAAATAAAAAAAAAATAGCAGGATATATTATAGTAACCCACTCTGACTTTCCATCATCTTGATTTAAAGCCCTGTGTTGCTCTCACCATCTTGTTTTAACTGATGTCCCTCTATTCTGTTTTGCTTGGTAGTACCAGGTTTGAAAGTTTAGGCAACAGCTGTGAAGATAGTGGGACGCCCATTCTGCTTGACTATTATCTACCTTTGAAGACCTATAATGTCTCCAATGTTTTGGTTTTGTTCTTTACTGTTTTGTTCAATTTTATTATAACTGAGGATATAGGCAATTCTATTAGAGATAGCGGGAGGCATCATGGTAACCATTGTTGATCACCTTGTATTATGCTTTTACATTATCTATTATGTCCACCCTTTTGATTTGATTGACTCTGTTCTGTTATGTCACATTTGGTTCTACTCTCTTCCAAAAAAGTAATAAGAACTATGGGAGCAACAAAACCCAAAATGTGTAATAGTTATTGTACAAAAGAGAGGAAAAGAAAGTGCTCGAAACGATATAACTGCATGTATATTTAAGTGTATAAAATAAATAATGATATTACTGAGTTTTGTTGGATCATTGAAAAGAACTGTTTGCAGTCTCACTGTTGGAATGTTCACTTTATAAGCTTTAATTTTGTAACTTGAACAATTATTTCTAAGATGACAATATGTAATCCATTAACTAGTGATTTCCTACTGTTTATTTTTTCTATAAATCTGTATAACTTGTACCCTTTCTGTTTTTCTTTTTCTCCTTAAATAAAATTTTAAAAAAATGTACAAAATTAATCTTCTAAAACAAAAATAAACTTTTAAACTTTCTCAGTGTTTTATCCCTTATTTAGATTAAGAGCAGTTTTAGTAGGGTTTTTGAGGTTTTTGGGGGGGAGGGTTGATCTTTTGGTTTTGGTTTGAGACAGAATCCTGTTATGTAGTCCAGGCTGGCTTTTAACTGACTGCATAGTACAGGCTGGCCTCCAACTCACAGTGATCCTCCTTCCTCAGCCTCCCAAATTTTGGGATCCCAAATTTTGGCATGTATTCCACCACACCTGGCTCTGGTGAGCTCCTCTGAATATAAAATACAACAAAATGATTCAGATAAGTGAGTAAGATGGGAGGATGGACTTGAGTATATTTTAATTGTAACAGTATGTTTTCATTGTATCCCTTGTGTACTTTGAGCTTCACACACACGTGTGCACAAACTTTTCTATTATATGATTTCAAGGCATAGAAAAATACTAGACTTTTTTTTTCTGGAATAAATCTGTTTCTCATTTGCAGTAACTAGAAGTCATTTTTATTAGTGGAATAACATGAATAGTAAAAATATATATTGCCATACCATAGGTTCTTTTTATATACTTTTAAAGACATAGAATACAAGGTATATTAAAATCATATTGATTTTAATTCAAGCTTTGGTAATTCACAGGAAACTTCAACCCCTTAGAGGTTGATTCAGTCAGCTTAATAAAAGTCAATTATTGTGATTCTGAGGTACACACAGACTGGCTAATAGGAACTTTAAATTAATGTATTACCACCTAACCATTTGACGGTTAAAACTAAAATGTCTCAGAAAATACATTAGATTTTATAAATAACAACCTTACTTTGAATTTTAGCGTAATATTTCTTTGTCTTCCCAAAATAAAATCTCCAATCCCCACAGCATTAGAAAAGAAAAACAAAAAAAGAAAAATAGAATCACTGAAAATTCAAATGGAACACATTAAGAAGATAATACTGCCACATGTTCTGTGCTGCATCCTGACAAATGTGTCCAACGCACTGACATTTCAAAAGGCAGAACTCTTTAAAAATACAACTTTGAACTAAATTAACACTAGAGTTACTGTTATGCACATTGTGCACACACTTTAAATTTAAGAAAATATTCTGTTTCTTAGAATTATGATAAATGAAAGTTCTTTTCCTCAATGACTTTTCTGTGAAAATTTAAGTGATAAATGTTTTATTACTTACTGGCTCTTCTTTAACAACCAGGCATAAATCACCATCACTACTCCGGGTACCAAATCCATTTAAAGAAGACCCGACCAGAAAAAGTCTGCTTTCTAAAGAAAAAGAAAGAAATCCTAAGATGCTATTCAAACTGCAGAACAGGAACACATATAGAGAGAGCATCCAAAATGGAAGACATACGTGGGAACAGCAGCTGAATCTCCTGCTGCAGCTGTGCCCGACAGAGTTCTTTCTTCTTTAAGTCACTCACTTGCTGCTGACATGTTTCAAGTAACTCCAGTATCTGCTGACTCAACTTGAATCCACCACAAAGCAAAAGTTTTGTTCAGAAATGTAAAACAATAACCATACTGAGAAGTGAAAAATCAATTGTACTGATATTATTTTACAAACATGTTATCTTCTGAACACTTTCTGTGATATACAACACACAAGTATAATTATGGGTCAGCAAACCTCTATCTTTGGTCCTGTCAAATATGTTGTGTGGCACACTGGTTTTATATTTTAGGTGATAAAACCACCATGGGGGAGAAAAACACCATCGAAAACATGTGTGAAAGGAACATACTAAAATATTTTCTATCTGGTCCTTTAAAGACATTTGCCCAATATATATCCCATCATGCCCTACTAACATCCTCAGGTCAACAGAAAAATCACCCTGTATGCTCTTACAGATAAACTTTTGAGAGGATGGGAAAAAAGGCTTCCAAGGAAATTTATAGTCTAAGGACTAGTCGAGGGTTGATGCTCTTAGAATGACTCAGCATGATCTCTATGTTTCTGGTTAGACGTTGTTCCCATTAATTATTTATCAAGCCATTTTGAAATAATCACTACCTTCCTCAAGCCCCCGAAGCTTTTCTTCTACTAGCAGATCAGCTGACATTAAAGTTCACTAATGACCTGAAGGATACCAGATGTGATACTCCTTAGCTTCAAAAAAGGCCTACAAACTAATCTGAAGAAGCTCTTTATCTCTTTATCTCTCCTGCTAGATGAAGTGTCCTCTTCCACATTCAGAGCTAATCCTTCTACTGATACTTTTGCATCCAAGGCTTGTCACTTCATGGAATATTTTGAACATTTTTTTCAAACTCTCAATTAGTATTTCAGTTTCTCCTTCTCTAGGACTTCCTCTAAGGTCTATCAAAATGGGAAACATTTTATCATGTGACTGAAGCACTCTGAACAACTCAAAAGAGACTAATGTTTTGATATCCTTGGATAGCTGGCCCACCAAAAAAGTAACCAAGAGAATAAAACAGATCAGACTAAGCCAAAACAAAGTGTGTACAACAAATACAACATAATTAATTGACTAGATTTCCTGTAGGAATTCCAAACGACCAGTTGGGAGCCCAACACCAGTAGCAACAAGGCCTGCAAACAGTAAGAAAAAAAGAGAAAATGCTACATAATAAAGAGAGAGGGGTCCTAGAGCCACAAAACTAGGAAAATTAGCCTGCACAACCCTTCATATATAAAAAAAAAATCTCACTTATACAGTGAGAAAAAAAAAATCTTCTCAAAAAGGAAAGTGAGGCTGTGAAAGGATACAAAACACTTTGAAGAGATAATGCCTAAAAAGGATTCCAATCAATTCCAATAGTTTCTATAAGAAAAATGAAAATGAAGCCAGTAACATCCCTACAGATAATGCAGCACACCACAAAGACATGTCCATGAATATATGAACTATTCAATATAAAAACCAAGTCCTTTTCTTGTTTTAATTTTCTACAAAATAAATGACTACTGAAAGCCTATATACTAGCAACAAAGTGGAAATTTATCCTTTTTAAAATATTGTTAATACCAGCAAAAGGCATAATGAAGTAAAACTGTCCAAGTCTTGTAGACTGAAAACTACAATCTGCTGGTAAGAGAAATTATAGACCTAAATAAAGAGACTTACCATGTTCATGAAACAAAAAACTACTGACAAAGACATCAAGTCTCCCAGAAGTGACCTCTAAACTCAATGCAGCTGAATGACAGAAGGGGGAAGGAAGACCGGTCATGCATAGTTAAAATAGGGTGATACTGTACAAGGATTTATCATACTACATTCTATTTTTGTAAATACTTTGGCAAACTATGGCCTATAGACCAAATATGATCTCTGGTCTATTTTGGAGGGCCAGCAAGTCAAATGATTTTTTATATTTTTAAAATAAAAAAGAGGAGAAAACAAGAGGCAGTGTAACCCACATGCCTATGTAACCCACATGCCTAAAATGTTTACCATCTGGTCCTGTAGAGAAAAGCTCTGTCAACTCCTGATCTAAAAAATTGGTATATCTGCGTACTCTAGACATTGTAGTAGGTACTCTATTATTACCAAATAACAAAATAAATTTCTTTACAACAATGCTCAAAAACAATTTTACTACATTTATAAAGTTGTTTCATCTGAAAGACAATGTTCATGTACAAATGTTAACATGAAAAAAATTATAATTATGTGGAAAATATGAAAATTCCATATTCTTGTTCCTCTCTCTCCCTTTTTTAACCTGCATGGAAACATCCCCTCTCCAGGCCATTCCCTAAAAGGAATACTATAGTAGAGATCTAACAGGTTTTTGAATAAAATAATCTCCTTGCTGTCTGGTTACTTTGAAATCCATAATGTCAAACCATGTTACTTTATCTTAGAACAGAATAAGGGAAGTCAGACGATATTAAAACTCAAGAGAATGCACATATATTGTGAAGGGAAAAAAACTCTGTTTCAGGGATGATTCGCTTAAAAGGGGGAAGAATGCCAGAACGCACCACATGAGCTCTTCTTGGCTGAAATCATACGTGATTTAGATCACATATGTAATTAGCTGACTACACATAATGGCAATTCAAGAATATTCTTTAATTCTGTTTTGTTTCATTGCATAAATTTTTCCACAGTTTTTAGTTTAGAAAAACTATTACAACAAATTACCTATAAAATGTGTGGGCCACTGCCTGAGTGGGGTCAGCCAGACCCAAGCCTCTCGCCATGAGTCAGCACTACTCACCACTCACAGACTGCAGGAGAGAACCAGGCCTCCAGAGGTGATTCCTGCCTGGAAACCATAGCATTTTTACTGTTTTGTTGGGTTAGGTTTTTAATCTCTTTGTTTTGATTATGTTAAGTTGGATGCCATGAGCAGCTATTTAAAAGACATATTATGGTAGCCATTTTAGATTTACTTTGACTTATTTTTAAGTCCCTTCATTGCATTCACTGTTTTGGTTTTATTGTTTCTATTCTATTCTGTTCAGTTTGATTTTTACTATGTCCAAAGGTATCTGCAGCTATTTGGAAGACAACAAAATGCACTGTGGTAACTATTGTTGATTTCATAAGATTCTGAAGTCCTGTATCATTTGTACTTGTGTATTTTGATTGGTTTTATTGTTTTATTTTCCTTGGTTTTATCTTCTTTAAAAAAAAAAAAAATATTACTCTTTTTTTTTTTTCAGTACCAGGGATCAAACTCATGATCTCACGCTATTCCACTGAGCTAAATCCCTGGCCCCTAAAGAATTATTCTTAAAGCATTATTGTTTAAGTCACCATAATACTACTGTGGAGGCCAACTGTTAAATTACTTTAAAATTAATTGTAAAGGCAATGTATTTTTTAATATAAGTAAATGCTGTATTTGCTTAAGATTATATAAAATTACCTACATATAGCTCTAAATCTTAAAATAAATATTTTTCAAATACAAATGTTCATCTTTCCTAAAAAAATTATAAACTGTCTTGTAGTCCAGCTCAAATTAAATCACCAATAAAATCATCATGGAGGTCAATACATGCCAGTACTATTAGGATAAAGTGTGGATTTAAGAAAAAATTTTAAATATATCACCATAAAAAGCTTAAGGTATAACTTTCACATAGTCTTTTCAGCAGTTTCTCTACCTGTCCGTGTTAGCTGGTCTCCATTTAAAAGAAACAAAACAATTTTAGTTGGAAATCATTACCACGTATGAAAAATGGTAAGTTTTTGCCTAAATTTAAGTGGCTATGTTTAACCAATAAACACAAATAAGCAATAAGCTTTAAAAATAAAACACATAAAATTAAATACTGTTCAGAAAACAGGCCACTAGTTCATAAGCATTTCAATAAAAATAAGCAACCCCTCACATTTTCTCACTACCTTAGTCTTTGTCTCACATGCAACTAATTATAAAAAGAACTGATACAAATTACTGAATAAAATAAAGCCAAAGGGTCTGAAGGTACAGCTCACCAATACAGCACAAAGAATATATACGAAACCCTAGGTTCAATCCCTCATACCCCAAAAAATAAATTACATGAAGTCAGATGTGTAGCAAAAGTTTTAACTCCTTCTTAACAATGAACTCCCTTTGCTTTTAGATTAATTCTAAAATGAAATGGAATCAGAAATACATCTTAAGAAAAAAAAAAAAAAGAAAGAAAGAAAGAAAGAAAGAAAGAAAGACATTATGCCTAAAACAGCTCACTCCTGAGCCAGGGATACAGCTCAGTGGCACAGCACCTGTCTGGCAAACATGAGGTCATGAGTTCAATTCCCAGTACCAATCAATCAATCAATGAAACAAAACAACTCACTCCTTGTTAGCATGTTATTACATTTTTTTGTATGAACTCAATGTAGAGTTTTCTTAATTCATATACTGGCAGGTTGAGAAAACTGTCTACATAGAGTCTAATTTATCTTAGGTACATTCTATTAACTAAGTTTGGCCATGGAAAAATTACCTTTAAAAAAGAAAATGGAAGACAAAGAAGGGGAAGAAGAAAAAAAAAATTTTATTAGCTCTCTTCTGGGTTGAGGTGCTGGTTTGGATGTTCTATATGCATCTACACGTTAGTGACTTTCAAAACTTCTTGAGACATAAAAGGATAGAAGCCCTTACACATCTGTAAAATAATAACACAATAATAAACAATAAACTATTTCTCAAAGCTAAGGAAGCAGAGAAACACATTAAGATCTGACCCTTTTCAAAATTAAGTATTATACCAGGAAGTCTGAATAGTTTTCTCACTCCCCTTTTTAATTACAAGGGATCTCAAATCTAATCTCAAAATTCAAAACCAATTAAATCAATTCATACAATAGGATCAATTAACACAAAGCAATTAACACAATTAAACCGGAATTTCCAGTTATAACAGATGCAATTCAGGAGCTTGGACAACTGATTCTTGTACAGGTTTTTTGTATAAAACACCATACATTCACCTAAAAAGCTAAAGTAATTTAGAAAAGTAACTCATTTCCAATTTAAAGAGTTCTACTTA